CACCCCCACCCTTTTTGAAGACAAGCCCTCTCAGGGTGCAGTTGCCTGTTTTGCCCTTCCCTTTCGTCTTTCCCTTAATATACTCATCTCTCTCAATATCCTTAACTCTTAGCCCATTCCTCACTTCAATTTTCTGAGGGCCCTTGTGGAGGGAGAGGGCAAGGGAGAAAGCAAGCCCCTAATGGGGCGTGGTCACACTGGAATACTTTCCATAGCCTGACAGATTTGGGGCGCACATTCCACTTTAGGGGTGAGGTCTTGCTCCCTTCACGCTGGGCCACTCCACCATCCTCAACTCTTGACTTAACCTCTCTAGCCCTATTCTGTTTCTCTTGCCCTGACCTCAGCTGTGCCCTCTCTGCTTTGAAATGGCTAGCTGAGTTGCTCACCTGCTCCCTTCCCATTCTCAAGTGTGACTGGTGACTCGTTTGTCTCCCCTTCTCTTCGTCTGAACTCTCCTTTGCTTTTCCACCTGGGCATGCTCAGCTGCTCTTACTTGCTGGCCCAGCTACCTGACCCTCCCCTGCCCAATCCCTTCTGTCTCCTGGTTTCTCCCAGATGCCTGCAGGCTGCCTAGGGGGCGGGGCTTCACTGTGAGAAGGAGGAACTTCAGTCCAACCAGAAAGGACCCTGTAGTTTCTGGTGCGGAAAGGGAGGTGCCATCCATACAAGGTGCCAATAAAGAGCCGAGATAAGAGTGGTGGCTTAGCCAATGAGACTAGGAGCTAGGGTGGGCGGGTGATCATGGAAAGCTCGTCAATGAAGCGCACGAACGGGAAGACGGAGGGTCTAGTAAGGAATGGGCCAATGAATTTTGTAAAGACGGTGAGAAGCTGAGCTGCCCGCATTCCGGGTCTTCCAGTCCGACGGAATTTGAAAATCCTGAGGCCACGGTTTTAGACTCGGCCTGTATGTTCCCACAAGCAAAGCCACCGGCCTGGTACTTGCCCCACCCCTCTCTCCAGAGGCCCGGAAGCGGAAGTGACGGACACGGAAGTGGCCTGCTGTTGCCGAGGGGACGGGCCGGGCAGATGCCAACATGGCAGCGGTTGGGGCTGGCGGGTCCCGCCACGGTTTTAGACTCGGCCTGTATGTTCCCACAAGCAAAGCCACCGGCCTGGTACTTGCCCCACCCCTCTCTCCAGAGGCCCGGAAGCGGAAGTGACGGACACGGAAGTGGCCTGCTGTTGCCGAGGGGACGGGCCGGGCAGATGCCAACATGGCAGCGGTTGGGGCTGGCGGGTCCCCCCCAGCGGCCGGGCAGCGAGTGCGGGTGAGACGGGCTGTGGTGAGCACTTGGTGGTGGGGCACAGACCAGAACCGCTGGGCTTTGGAATGGTTCCTCACTGAAGTGAGGGAGCATCCCGTGTGGAGGTGTTCGCGTGAGTGTGTGTGTGTGTGTGTGTGTGTGTCTGTCTGTCTGTGTCTGTGTCTAGAGAGGTGGAGGGAGGACAGAACGGGTCATTGTGAGCGTGTTAGTAGGGGGGAGAGACCATTCTGAGGGTTATTGGAAGGGAGGGCCTCCTGTGTACAGAGAGGAGAGGCCAGTCCGAATGTGATAGGTATTCCCTTTGGCTGGGGGTGCTAAGACCACGGAGACCATTCTTGGGTGTGTGGAGTCCTTCCTTATGAAAGGGAGAGACCATTCTGTGGGTGTGAGTGTGGGAGTTTTTCCTTATAGACAGGAGAGGCTATTCTGGGGGTGGTGGATCCTTTCTAGAGGGACAGGGACTTTTGTGAGTTAGGGTGGAGCGAGTCCTTATGTGACTCAAAGTGTCCATTTTGAGGATGGAGATGTCCTTGGTTATATGTGTAGAAGACCGTTCTGGGAGTCCCGTCCTAATGGAGGTAAATAAGAATTCATTGTATGCTGAGGTGGGAGGGTCGACATATACATGGTGGAGAGAGAACATTCTGAGGGTGCTAAGTCCTGTAAAGCAAGTTTATTGCAAGTGTGGGTAGAACAAGGAATAATTACTTGGCTGGGGACTGGGTGGGGTGTGGTGAGGGAGGACAGACCACGTAGAATATAGGGAAATATTTCCTTATGATTGAGGGAATCAGTCCATTCTTGGGATTACTATACATTATCTGGGGTTCAGCCCTTAGGACAATGAAAGGACTCATTTCTTAAATTTGTTACACCATTCTGGATCAGGAGGCATCAAGTACCAGAGGAAGGAGGGATTGGAGAGACCATGACTGGGGAGGATCATTCCATATGGAATGTACACCATTCTAAATGTAAGGGAATCAAACCATTTCTTAGGAGGAAAACTATTCCTTAGGGGGTACCCTTTATACAGTGGTCTCATTTCCTGCATCAGGGTATTCTTTTTTTTTTTTTTTTTGGAGAGGTTTTTGCTATAGGGCGCGTGCGCTCGCCAGACAGAGAGAGACAGAGAGACAGAAAGCGAGAAATCACCCCCCAGGGGGGATGGTCATGCCACAATCCCTTCTCCTCCATTCTCCTCTCGGGATCTTGGGCACGCACGCACACGCGCCCGGCGTGAGTTTTAAGCCACCGGGTCCAGGACGCAAACTGCGGGTCCAGGACGCAAACTGCGGTCGACTACGTGGGAGTCCAGCTACATAGCCATTACGCTAACTGCTGGTTCCTGGGGGTATTAATCTTTACATGGGACAGTCTCTTATTAAATAAATAGGAACAGTGGGGCTGGCAGGTGGCGTGGTGGTTAAGGGTGCTGGACTCCCACATGGCTGACCACGGTTTGAGTCCCAGACCTGGCAGCTTGCTTTCTCACTTTCTCTCTCTCCCCCTCTCTGGTTAAATTAAAATTAATTAAAGTTAAATAATTAAAAATAAATAGGAATGTCATTTCACATAAATCTTCAGTTTGCTTATCCGTAAATCCCATAAACCTGGAATCCTCATAGTTCTTTCAGAGATCAGAGTGATATGAGTCCCTTGAGGTAATCCAGATAAATCCCTTAGCCCAGTGATAGGTGCATGATAAGCACTCAGTATATGGTGAGAATATAGTTTTTGGTATTCTACCTGGGGAAGAGTTGCTCTTTGGGAGAGAGAGCCAGAACAGAAGTGGATGTCCAGGGCCTGCACCAGCCATTTCCTGATACCTCAGCAGGGATTCCAGGTATGGGCTGGACTGGGTGGGGCCCACCTCTACCCT